GGCTTAAAAGTACACTCCAAAATACAATAGGGTAGAGAATTGGTTGGAAGGTTGTTGCAACAGCTTTAAATGATACAACGTAGTATCCATTTATTAGGCAAGATTAGTTGGAGAAGAAAGTGTCATATTAGAAAGAGGTCAATTTTTTGGAAGGGACAAAAAAATAAAATAGGTCAATGAAAGTAGGGCAGAAGTAGTATTTTACCAAGATGGTAAACCATAGGCTGCCTAGAGTTCCCTTCAAACTTCAGTTTAATAGAAACATGAATATCACTGAAGCTAGAGCATAAATGCAGTAGTGCGTAAATCTGAAGGGGACTGTAGGTATGGCAACCAAAAGTTATTGGTCTTCTAAATCATGAGAATTGAAAGCAAGAAATTTTAATAAATGAAATAGGACTAAATACCTGAAATGGCATCATAGTGAAAGGATCAACATTGCCTTTTGCTATTCCTTGAGCAACTTCTGTTTGTATCAGCGTTCTCCTAGTTAAGGAATGACTCATAAAAAAAAGGAAATAGATTGTTACATGCATCTAAGTTGCATCATGACTAAATTTGGAAGGATATGGGCCTAGGAAATCTAGATCTTGACTACCACAGACAGAGAGCTCAGACAAATGAACCAGATCTTCAGTAATGGGATCATAAACTCGTTGATGCAGGAAGGTCATAATTGCTTTCTTGAAAGACTCTTCATACAGAGGAGAAACTGCAGCAGTATTGTACCTCAAGTGCTTAATGACCTGTAAATAAGCAAATTAGTATCCAATTATCATGCTTACGTAAATGCTCAATACCAAATGCAAGCCAATAGATAAGATACGCAAACTGAGGAAGCAGGATCAGACTTTGGCAAATTACTAAGTACAATTTTTTCTAGGGAAGTCAACATTTTTAATGCTCCAATAATATTCACCTTGTCATAGCTCTTGAACTTTTTTATAAGTGCATGAGCTTTTTTTAGGCCCATTCCAGGCAAGGACTGCAAATAGTCACAACCGCTCAAGATACACATCTCTAGAAGCATCTGCTTTGTGAAACCTGTTAAATTTAGTTCCTTATTCTGATCCAGCTTAGAGCACCGAAACTCAAGACCTTGCCCAAACTTATCCATTTTGTAAATGATCTGGATTCAACAAGAAATTAGCAGGACTTCCACGATGAAGTACAAAAAAATTGTAACAAATAAAAGGAAAACTTTTTTTAACAAAAGTTCGCCATTAAAACAGCCAAAAGCTTACCCTAGGACAACCAAATGCTATTAAATCCGAATCCTCGGTTATAACTGCATCAACCTGTTTGTTGATGGCCAGAAAGGTCATTTGAGCATCTGCTTCATAAGGAGCCACTATGTAACATACATTTTCTCGCTTTAGGACCTTCAAATGCATATATTAGATTATGAGAAACAAAAGGTTGACTTGTTAACCGTAGTGAAATCATGATGGATTTTAGTACCTGTATGAGATCGTGAGCCACTGAAGGTGATATATCAACCGCCTTTTGATAGCACTCATAAGCAGCAGTCATGTTTCCATTAGCTTCATGCTCTATCGCACGAGAAAGGTTTTCTTTCCTAGACCTGCAGGAAAATATGGGGATGAAGTTAGCAACACTAAAGAGCTTGCCATGATTGAGGAATGCAAATTAAGGTATTCCTTACTACCTTTAAGGGCTGGACATCAAGGCAAGAGAGGTGCGGTAAAGGTGATTGAAAGATTTGATTAGATGTTGGCAACATGGAAGGAGCAGTAACCTTCAATAGGGTAACTATTCCCAATTACAGGTAAAGTAGTCAAACAACTGGACAAAGTTAGGAGGAAGGGAATGGTGATCAACCCAAGTTCCATTATTATATGGGATGTTGCAATGAAACCGAAGTACTGCGGAGGTATGGGGTAAGAAATCTACAGCTATACAAAGCCAACAAAGGAAGTGCTTTGGGATACAATAACGAATCTGATGCTAACGGAGTAAAAAGTAGTAAATGCAAAGCATGGAAATAACTCATTGGTACGTTTTTTTTAATGAAGTAAGACACTTTCATTAAAGGCATCTAGAAGATGCAAAACAAAAGAGAGTACAAGTAAATAGAGTGTGACTGCTCATGAACATCAACAAAAAACCTATGTTAAAACTAAGGAGCAGCCACGGTCCAGAAAATGATCGCAAAGCCTGATTGAGCCAAGTAAAAAGATTAAATAGACATTTAGCTTTAAGGGCATGGTTGGAGTTGATATGAGCTAATTATCCTTTTCCTTTTTGCAATTTTCATGGATAAACTAGATGCAATATATCAAAAATTCTAATTAGTTCATTTAAAAAATTAAAAGGAACTTACAACGTAGACGTAAAAGTTAGGAGGTTATAAGTACCTTGCCCGCTTGTTCTCCTGGTCATTCTTCATTGGTAAGGGACCTCCATCAAACACAAGAATAGGTTTGACACCATAATGGCGTAATAGATTTACTCTGTGCATGCAATAATCAATATGCCTAAAAGAAAATACAGCGGAAACATTGTCAGAGTTTGCATTAGGCTAAACTGAACTATTTACACTTCAGTCTTTTCAGCCATTCATTAGAGTTTCATCTTCGAAGAAAGAACTTTCTAAGACTTCCAACGCAATGTTGACTGTATTAGTGAGAGATGAAACTTTGTTTACTTCTCCAAAGGTAGTTCACACTTCTGATCTCAACTAATTCTAATCTTAATGTGAAATGTATAATATATTGGGAGTAGAGTATTTTACTAATGTGATCTTAACAATTAATCTGCCCAAAATAGACAAGCACAATGTTGTTTCCTTCTAAAAGCACATAAAGCTTGTCGGGCCATTGTTCTATATGAATACTAGTTAGCAAACTAAAACGGTCAAACCAAGAAATGAAGGTATTATAAAATCCATAGCAACTATCCTGTTAAATCTCATTGCTATCGTGAATACAGAAAGCAAAGCAAATATGTCCTGTTCAAGAATTGGTATATACACATGGATTGAGATTTATAGTCCCTTTGCATTAATCATCAGCTAAATCAAAATTTAGTTAAAAAATTCATTTACTTTTTCCACATTTCACATAATTGCAAGAGAAAGATCAAGAGAAAGAGAAAAATACAAAACACATACCACGAAAAAAGACATACCAAGGACCCCATCATGAACATCAAATCACAAAACTTCAGAAGAATGAAATAACAGAAACAAAAACGTACCAAAAAAAAAAAAACACATAATCCCTCCCCCATTGAATATTTAGTAGCACAAATTACAAGACAAATCAAGAACAAAAGAAAAAGAAAAAAGAAAAAAAATTCTTTGACCGAAAAATAAAAATAACACAAAAATAAAAAAAGATCAGCGGGAAATGAAATATTAAGGAGAAAGAAAGATGAATACTTGGTAGTGGGGATGCCTTTGCAGAGCTCTTTGCTGCAAGAGAAAGCACCCTTGTGAAGCCAAGAATATGTATCAACAGCTACACTGCAACCCTTCAATTCTTTAATGTTTATGGGTAACATTATTGATTTCAAGAGGGGCAAAAGCCCTTGTATACCCATTATTCTGTTGGCGTACTCAATTAAAGAATATTTGCAATTTTGAGAAATGGGTTTGAGCTGGAATTGCTGTTAGCCCTAATTTCTGAGCACCCATTTGATAGATAGGGGTGGAATTTAGAAACGAGGGAGAAAGAGGAATGGCGGGAAGTGTTTTTTGAGAGTGCAGTAATTGGGGCGTCTATGGAATTTTGCAGTTTTTGTGGTATCTAATTGGAAAATAGTACTTTTCAGTTTTCTCTCTTTTTTTTCTGCTATTTTTCTTTTCCTCCTTCTTCGGGTCAAGGATTTTCCACTCTTAAGGAGGGGAAGGTGATTTTTCAATTTCGGGAATATATATGGAAAGTCGGGAATTGAACACGTAACAATGTTTTCACTTTTCTTTCAACTAAAGTATATTCACAATAATCATTAATGCCAAAATTGGAAGATACTTTCACTTTTGGACAATTCAGGAAAATCTCTTCTTGCAAAAACTTCTTTAAACTTTGGATTGTTTTGTGAGTATGAGAAGACCTTGTTGCTAAAAAGGTGCCTTTAAGACACTTCATTCAAAAGGCATCACGAGAAAAATTTCAATCAAACAACTTTTTTCTCCAAAAACTTTCTAACTTTGAAATAATTTTAATGTTCGAACGCTTAAAATTTACTCCTTGAGATCCACTTTAATTGATTTTTCGGACTTTTTCTGTGGTCCACGATATTTGATTTTTTCAGATATCATGAAGAATTTTTTTTTTTTTTCCAAAGTTGCCCCAAAGAGCCTAAAAGTATTTGTTGTATTTTCAATGAACAAACTAAGGTTAATATGATTAATTTTACTATTAATTAATGATAAAATATTTATTCCTTAATATGTGTGAAAAAGGCTAAAAATCAATTAAAACGGACCTGATGGAGTATATTTTATTCATGATCAATTCTACCTTTCAACTAAAGTACTATCCCGTGAATGCGGAAGTTTTTACTTGAAGAATTAACCTAAATAGCCATTCATCCAACCACTTAAACTAAAAATAGCCGGTGGAGGTATAATATATGTATAATTTATGTATTATATATGTATAGTTGTGTATAATCAATGTATAATTTATGTATATGGCTAAAAAAAGTAAACAATGAATATGGCCGGCTATTTGTATAAAAATCCCTTTTTACTTTCTTTTTTTTAAAAGCAACTATACCACTAGGCAAAATATATAAATAAAATTCCAAAATTGGTCCAAAGCTTACAAGATGTCCAAACCAAAATAGAAGTTGCATGAAGCTACTAGCTATTAAAAAGATAGATAAGCTAAAATCTAATGAACTAGCTATTACAACATAATAAGCTGAATGCTTCCTTCTCCTGTGAGTGTATGTGAATCCAATTGCCATTGGCAAATACCAAGCAGCACCTATCAAGCTCTCACTAGGCACCAGGGTATATTGTCCATAGGCTAAAATGAATTCCAAACATCTCCACCACAGAGTTGAAGCCAGCATAGTCTTCCAATTGTAGCTACTATATGATCTCCATATGCAGTGAACTGATTTTGTCCAAGTATTAATCATGTGCTCACTCATCAAGATTAATGTGTAAAAGAGGAGCCTAGCTTTGGGCAGGCTTTGCAAGGCAAAAGCCAGGCTTGGACTGGCTTTAAGCAGGCTTTGCAAGGCAAAAGCCAGGCTTGGACTGGCTTTAAGCAGGCTTTGCAAGGCAAAAGCTAGGCTTGAGCTGGCTTTAGGCAGGCTTTGCAAGGCAAAAACCAGGCATGAGCTGGCTTTAGGCCGGCTTTGCACAGCAATAGCCAGAAATGAGTTAGCTTTAAGCAAGCTTTGCAAGGTAAAAGCCAGGCTTGGGTTGGCTTTAACAGGTTTTGCAAGGCAAAGGCCAGGCTTGAGCTGGCTTTAGCAGATTTTGTAAGGCAGAAGCCCGGCATGAGCTGGCTTTAGGCTGGCTTTGCAAGGCAATAGCCAGAAATGAGTTGGCTTTAAGCAGGCTTTAAAACTATGCCTTTTTGTGATCTTGTAAGCTCAGATCCTTCCCTACTAGAACCTTTAATATAGACATCATTCTAAATATTGCTAAACCATCCTCAGATTGAGCATGAAAGCATGCTAATACCACTGAGAAATGATTCAACAATCTCCAGAAATACCATATGATGGATTCATCGTTTTTCTTAGTATTTGGACATATCAGAAGTAGGATAAATTGTACCATCCCACACCTGCTTATCGCATTTTTCTGTACACTATCAAAGCACCACAGAATGAGCATGAGACCATGCTAATACCATTGGGAAGCACCTTAATAGCATACCGAATGAGACAAAGAAACATGCAGGTTTGTGCATAGTCCAATCCTGTGAAGCCATTAGTCTAGGGTTCTTCTCTTTGCTATCCTAACCCTAAGGTTAGGTGATTGAGATATTTCTAGATTGATCAACCTCCTCTCTGCACTAGGCAGTTCAGATAATGAATGAAACTCAGATGTACCTGCAAAAGAAAACACAATGTTAGCTATAAAATCTGCCACTGAGTTGCCTTCTCTGAACACATGTTGAAAGATCACATTGAAGTTGTCCTTCATCTCTATAATTTTCTTCACATCCTGTGTAATTACCCAAGGAGGATCCCATTCCCATTCTATCACCAATGAATCAGCCTCCAATATGAAAGGGTGAAGATCATGCTCCACACAGTATTCCAACCCTTGAAGAATAGCCTTAGCTTCAGCTACCACATTAGTTGTCACTCTCAGGTCCACTGCCCTAGCATACACCACATCACATTCATCATCCCTCACACAAAAGCCTAGGGAGCTAGGTCCAGGATTGCCCTTTGAGGCTCCATCATTATTACATTTGTACCAACCATGACAAGGAAGATGTCACGTTACTCTTGTAGTGATCAATATAGGTTTATATCCTTCAAAGTATTGAATCACGTCTGGCCATAACAATGGAATATTAGGCATCCAAGCATACCTCACCCTTGCCAGTTGATGCAATGTCCTATTTGTCTCATGAATCACCCTATTTGTGGACACTAACCCCCCATGTTTACCTGCATTTCTTCTCTTCCAAAGCTCCCAAGTGATGATAGTTGGTACTGCTTGAAATAGTGGCTTTAATTTTAGACAATACTGAGCATACCACCAATGCTTTATAATCTACTTCAATTGAATTAATTGTACAATAATTCCAGCAGCCCCCATAAACAAGTTCCATACCTTAGAGGCAGTAGGACTTGTGACAAACATATGCTCAATGGATTCCTCTTGGGACTGCTGACAACACCAACACCTAGACATCACCATTTTCCCTTGCCTCTTCCACATGTCATCAGTGACTATTTTCTGCCTCCACAATCTCCACAAAAATAAGGATATCTTAAATGGCAAACCTTTAATCCACATTAACTTGAATTCATGTTTAGGATCAGCCCTATGTCTTAATATTTGCCAAGCACTGCTAACACTGAACTTGCCTGAAGGAGTTGGCATCCAGTATGGCCTATCCCAATATCTCTCACTGCCTTCATAATGCACATTTAGCCTTATATGTTCTGCAATTTCCTCATTGAAAGCTTGATCTAGCAGTTGATCATCCCATGCTTCCCCTTGCCGCAGTTCTGCCACCTTCTGAAGATCTTTATTGATTGGAAAGTCTTCAGGTAATACATGATAAAGTACACTCAATCCAGTCCAATTTTCATGCCAAATATTAGTGGTTCCACTCTTCAATTCCCATACGATCTCATGTTCTACTTCTTCCCTAGCATTCACTATTTGTCTCCAAACATGAGACCCTCCCCTAAAATGCACCATTGTTGGTAGCTCCTTCTTGCAATACTTATTCCACATGAAACTAGACCACAAAGATTTCGTGGTCCTAAACCTCCACCATAGTTTAGCAAACAATGCCCTTGAGACATCATGCAAGGACCTAAAACCTAGGCCCCATTCCTCTTTAGGAAGGCAAAGATTTTGCCATGAAGCCCAGTGTCTGCTTCTCCCTTCTTCCTTTGTGCTCCAAAAGAACCTAGCAAAAGTCTTATATAGATGCTCCAGGATGTTGTTTGGTGGATCAAGGACTGATAACATGTGAGCTGGCATATTTTGCAACATACTAGAGATGAGTGTTGCCTTTCCTCCAAATGACAGCAGCTTTCCTTTCCATGAATGCAATTTAGCCTTCACCTTCTTGATAAGATCCTCATAAGAGTCCTTCCTCTTTCTAGTGTAAAAAATAGGACACCCTATATATGTGAAGGGGAATTTACCTCTTGCAAATCCTATAATAGCTTCAATTGCCTGAAACAATCCATTAGCAACCTTTGAATGCATGTAGTATGAACTCTTATCTTTGTTGATCATCTGACCTGATATCTTCTCATAGTTCCCCAACGCTGCCATAATCTTTCTCAAGGAGGGAGGATGAGCAGATGCAAAGATTATCGTATCATCAGCATATGCCAAGTGGTTTAAAGGATCAGACCACTTATGTATTCCAAATCCCACAAATGACTTGTCTTCAAAGAGCTTATTCAAAGACCTGGAAAGTACCTCAGCTGACAGAATGAACAATGCTGGAGATAGGGGATCCCCTTGTTTCACATCCCTTATATACTTAAAGAACCCTGAGGACTGCCCATTTACCAATACTGAATACCAGTTATTTGATATCAAGTTCCATACCATGTTGATGAAGTGCTAAAAAACCCCATCTTCCTTAGCACATGCAATAAGTACTTTCATGAAACCCTATCATAGGCCTTAGCCATATCAAGCTTGATCACCACATTAGCTGGCTTTCCCCTTAACCTTATGTCAGTGACAATTTCCTGAGTCAATAAAATGTTCTCAAATATACTCCTACCCTTTACAAATCCGGATTGATTAGGGGATATTAGAGATGGCAGAAAACTCTCCAATATGTCATGTAACACCCTAGACAAGACCTTGTTAATGAAGTTGCTTAAACTAATAGGTTTTAAGTCAGAGAAGGTCTCAACTCTAGGTTTCTTGGGTAGCAACACTAGATTGGTGTGAGTGATGGATTTAGGCAATGCAGCTCCTCCATAGAAGTGTAGCACCATGATGTGTATATCAACACTAACAACATCCCAGCATGTTTGATAAAACAGGCCAGTGAATCCATCAGGACCACTAGCACTCTCCCCACTGAGCTAAAAAACTGTTGCCCTTACTTCTTAAATTGTTGGCAATCTGCTAAGTTCCAAATTCTGATCCATAGTGACCATCGAAGGCACATTATTGAGCAAGGAAAATTCAGAAGCATCACCTTCATTTGTGAACTGTTTTTGATAGAAGTCCACTGCAGTTGTAGCCAATTGCTCCTGGTCTTCAATCCATACCCCACTGCCACTTTTGATCCTCTCCAGTTGCAATTTCTTTCTTTTTCCATTGACATGATTGTGAAAGAAACTTGTATTCCTATCTCTTTCAGCAAACCAAGTCATCCCAGCTTTTTGCTTCCAATACTGCTCCTCAATACTCAAGTATTTCTTCAATTCAGATTGAGCCTTTTGAAGAACAATCATATTCTCAGTTGTAGGCTCTTCTTCAAACAACATCTCTTTTATCTTAACAATGTCCTCCAAAATAGCCAATTGCTTGAAAATATCACCAAATGTTTCCCTACTCCATTTTGAAAGTGCTGCCTTTACCCTCTTGATATTCTGCTTGAACATAAAAAACAGATCCCCTATGAAATCAGCTTCCCAATTCTGCCTCACCACATCCATAAATGTAGCATGCTTTGTCCAAAAGTTCAAGAACCTGAAAGGCTTGACAAAATTGGTTGTCTGCACCCCACATGTCATTAGAAATGGTGCATGATCTGATCCAGTTTTGATTAGATGCTCAACTTCAATAGTTGGCAACATGTTCTGAAATGGAAAATTCACAAAAATCCTATCCAATTTCTTGAATATACACTCAGCATTGGAGCTCCCATTCCACCATGTAAATGGACTTCCTTTGTACCCTTGCTCAAGCAAACCACAAGAGTTTATACAAAGTGCAAAATCCTCATATTCAGGAGGGTGTACTGGAAGTCACCCTATTTTTCTCATCTTCATGCAATACCACATTGAAATCCCCTCCTACCAACCATGGTAATTCCATATCACTTGCTAAGTAATACAAGTGATCCCACAATTCCAACCTCTCTATTGCTGAATATTTTGCATAAACAAATGTCATCATCATGTGCTGTCCTAGGTCATGGTGAAACACTCTCACAGTCACCTATTGCTCAGTATCATCCACTAATTCCCATTCCATCACTGCATCGAAGAATAACCATATTTGCCCATTAATATGCATAAATAGTCTCCATATTCAACCTTCTTCTATATCTATCAATGAATCCCTTCTTTTGAAAAGGCTCCATCAATGTAACTACACAAAAATTATGCTCCCTATTCATGTTGATCACCCTAGGAAAGGCATGTTGTGTATTCACAGACCTTATGTTCCATATTAATGTTTTGATCATCATTATTTAGATAGAGAAGCTGCCCTTCTGGACATTATTCTTGAAGGTTGTGGTGGATCTTTACTCTGATTCTTCTTAGTTTTATTACCTCCTTTAGCACTAGTTGTGGGTGATAAATCCCCTTCCCTAGCCACTTGTTTGACGTTTTGTGCAGTTGATTCATCATCTCCTTCATCCACCATTGGATTTTTTCTCAATAAGTCTTCATCAATTAGTATCACATTGTGTGTAACTAAATTATGTAAATGTTGTAGAGGAGTCTTAAGTGGAACACTAAGATGTAGCTGCATAATTTGATCAGTGCCAGATTCCATAGGCACTTCCTTTATTTCCTCAGATGCTCTTGGAATAATTGCCCGCTCATCAGCCCATTCATATTCCCTGAAACTTGAATTGTAGCTCATAGACACTACCTAGCCCAGGAGTTACTGTAGCAGTCTGCTCTAAATACATTGTTCTAGTGAGATCACCACCCTTCCCATTGCCTGAAATTTGGTCTGAACCCATTATATCATCCCTAATCTTCACATTAACATCTCCATGAAGTTTGTTCTCCGATGCATATACCGGAACACTATCTACATAGGCCAAAATCTCTCTAGTTGCACTACAGTTTGGGGTTTACTATAGCTGCCTTATCAGGTGAACCTAGCTTTAGGCCTGGCGTCGCCAGCCTAACGCCTGGTGAGCCTGGCGTCACCAGCCTAACGCCTTGGGGGCCTGGCTTTAGGCCTGGCGTCGCCAGCCTATCGCCATGTGAACTAGGCTTGTTGTCCTTCTTCACCTTGTCTTCTATTGTCTTTGTTGTGCCCAACTGATCTTCCTTAACCTCAACTGCTTCACTCCATAAGACCTTTGTAGAGTTTACCTCATCAAGATCCTCAATCTGCCTAGAATATTTAAATATTTGAGATGGAATCTCATGACAAGATTGGTTTGTGGTCACATTGAGTTGTTTTAGCTCCTCATTGCTAGACCCAAACCTTCTATGAACCCAGTCGATTGTGGATTCCTTATTAGCCCTTTCATCAGTACGTTGATCACTATGAGCACTAGAATTAGCCTTAGCTAATTCTTGATCATCTTTAGGGACTGAAGACTGGATCCCAAAAGGAATAGAGTTACCATTATGCTCATTTTCCACCACCTTCTCGACTGTTTCCTTATTCACACGCTTATGTACATGTTGAGTATTGACTTCCTTTTCCTTCTCCTGGCCCTTCTTAGCTTGCTTTTCCCCATGTTCCTTCTTCTTACCATTGCTATGATCCTCACCTTTGCCTTCAGTAATTTGTAGAGTATGCTGATGAACTTCTCAACCTCTAGTGCATTAAACTTGTTCTTGGTTGCAACTTCCTCAACTTTGGCCTTCCCTCTACCCTTGTCAGCTTCCTTTCCTTGTTTGTTGTCAACAATGTGACCCCTATTATCTCGTTGGTATTTGTTCTCCCTTGCTTGCATCCATTCCTGCTTGGCATAATTAGTAGTAGGCTTACCAACCACCTTTCCACTAGTTAGGACCTTTGTTGAATTTGCAGCAGTCCCAATTGCATCAGAGCTCACCACAACTGTCTTCTCCTTGCTTTGTTCCTCAACACCTTTTTCAAATCTCTTGTGTAATTCAGAATGAATTACCCAGCATTCTACCTCACTATGCCCCTGTTTTTTGCAAGGCTTGCAATATTTTGGCATATAGTCATACTTAATCCTGATCTACTTGAACTCTTTTGGTCCAGATTCATCAGCTTCTTCCACAATCTTAATACGATGATGGAACTTACTTAACAAGTTAACTTCCACCTTCACCTTAGCACAACTAGGTCTAGTCCTATTTTGAGTGGCTAGGTCTACATGTAGTGGATTACCAACTACACGAGCTAAGAAAAATACACATTCCTTCCCAAAGAAATTAGGAGGCAGTTCTAAAAAGCTTCCAAGCTGTGGCAATGTGAGTCTCTTCATCAGGTGTCTACCATGGATTCCATTTTGTACAATGCATCTGCCACATGTCTGACTGAGCTTTTAAATAAAAAGCTGGCTTTGAAAGAAGATGAACATAGTCCTCCAATAAAGACAACCTAATCAATACATGATTATCTTCAATTAAACCAACTGAATAATGGCCTTAATCTCACATTGAATTGGAATCACTTTACGTAATTCACTAATAACAGGCTTCCCATATGAAAATTTCCCAAGAACTGCAAGTTGAAGTCCTTGTTGTACGATAGATTGCTTCACTTCTTGTTTCTTCCACTTCACAACTGGTTTTCCGTGAAGGAACTCAACTGGTTTTAATGGTAGAGTAGCGAAGGTTTGTATAGGGGCATTAATGGCAGTAGGTTTTAAAAGTTTTGAATAATCCATGGATTGTGGATTGTTGTTTGTTGTCATAGATGATTGGGCGATGGACTGCACTGAAGCTTGGGCAGCAGTCATCGCAGGAGGATTGGTTGAGTTGGGTGTCAAAATCTTTGAGTAATCTAGAGTTTGTGGATTGATAATTGGTGTTGTTTGTGGTTGGGCGATGTTGGAGGAGGGCACACCAGACGGAAAAGATGGCTGGTCGCCGGCCATCGCGGCCATTGAAGCTCAAACTCACAGCTTTCCATGATAAACAGTATTGAATCACTGTTTCATTGGATGAACAGTGAAGCGATGCTACTATTCACTACACTGCAGCAGCGAAACAGTAGCGAAATCACTGTTCGCGCCATTGTTTGGCACTGTTCACCGTACTGTTTTGCACTATAGCGGCTGTTCGCACACTATTCACTGCTATAGTGACGGCAAAATTTTGAGAGCAAAATTCTAGAGATCCCTTTTTACTTTGCGCCTCACACTAGGCATATTTTTTGTCTAGCACAACTAACTTTGTGGTCCCAGATTTTTGTGAACCCAAATGTGTAAGATATGGATCTGCAAATGTATAATATAAAAAAATATTTCACGGAGCTAGTGTCAGTTGTGCGAAAAACACCATAAAATCACTGGCGTAATGCTCACAATGAGCACATCAATGACGTCGATGTCAACGTGCTAGCTCAACACCTTGATAAAATAAAAACATTCGATTTACTTAATAAATGTCGTATCATCAATAGTAATTAGTGACATATATGTGAAACTAGCATTGAAGCAGCTGAGCATATTTTTTTCCACCACAAAATTGCTACATACTACCGGGAAAGGCTAATGACTTTTCTAAATGTTAGTCCCGTATTTAGTCCAAGTAAGCCGGCCATAAAAAGTTTGATCATTTTTTTCCTGTCATTTGATATTTCATATTAAATCAAAAGAATATTCTCCCAAAATTCTACCTCTCCCCCTTCCACTCCAAAAGAAAGAAAAAAACGTGTGATACTGACATTGACACTAGGGATAACTCATGTTTAAAGCACTTTAAGCAGTACTCCAAGTAAATAATATAATAATGATTTCATGGAAATTATAGAAATGTTAGCCGTAGCAACCACGTGCTCAACTTTTTAGGGTTCTTGGTTGGAAAAAAATTATAGCAAAAATAATTATTCGGGGATTGGTTATCTCGCAATTAGTTATTTCAACTTTTCATTG